TAAAATATATTTACATTTTAGTGACTCACATATTAACAATCTATATGAGATTGTCCTATTTAGAACGGTGATAAATCATACTAATAATTAGTAAATATCCACACTTTAATTTATTAATCATAAATAATTTTAGATTATTACTCTTAAACATTATCTTATCATATATAATACTATTAAATACAATGTTTAATGTCGTATTAATAATCATGAAATTTTAAATGATATTTATGAAGTATCACATACATGCATACAAATAACAATCAATCAATAATAAATTATTTTTATTGAACAATCCATAATAGTGAGAACACTAAAGTTATTTTCTCTAATAAAAAAATTTCTTACAATATTCAAAGAGAAGTCTGTGTCGTTCTGTAAGAAAATGTGTTATCAAAAAATATCGTAGTCAAATTTATCATTATATAGCTCTCAAAAAATTAAATTGGTGGAAAAGCATGAATTAATAAATAGTCAAGTTCTTCCTCTTTATTTTAAAGTTCCTAAGATTAGTTTTTACAACCCATCATTTTAGGTGTTTTGGTGATTGAATAAACAATAAAAGGTTTGCTTGAATGCAAGTATCATTCTTTTATGATATGCCAAGAAATTCTATTTATCATAATGAGTGGTGGTATTGAATGTGGTGCTTTGGGGAAAAACACAACTCATGGGATAGAAGTAGTAAATCTAGTTTAAATGATTTTATAATCATATGGAAATTTGATTTATATTTGCAAGGGAACTAATGGGAATATAACATATATCCATTTAAAGGAAAATTTATAAGAAGGAACTCTAATTAAGTGATGAATCCTCCTTGGTTACCTAAGATATACAACTTATCTCTTCCATATATCTACATATGCATCGACCTCAACATAACGAATCAATATTTGATTTAGTTTTGAACAATCATGCAAAAGAATCAAATTAGTATCACCTCTTATTTTCTTTGCAATCCCTTTTAAAGCTTAAAGGACCAAACTCAACTACTAAATGATTATAGGACAAACCAAATTAACATTACTTTCAACCTTCACAAAACTTGCCATATTAATTACTCTATTTTCAAAGAAAATTAAGCCAAAGAAGTACTCTAATATTCACGCAAAATACAATCAAAATTAATGTCCCAATCACCAACTTTAAAAATTCACCAAAAGTTATATAAAGCTTCAAAATCATGAAACTTGATGAGTAATCTTATTTATGTGCTCTATCAAAACATAACATTAAAGTTCTAAAATCAAATTCTCCATAGATTGAAAAAAAAAATCCCAAAACTCAATGCACCTAAAATTATCAAGTTGTCGCTTAAATTCTGTATAGCAAATAACAAAATTATTAAAATCTAAATTTTTTATTACTTCATGCCATAAAAGTTCTAAAACCAAATGCTCCATAAATTTATCATAGTAATTGCATCTTTTAGGTTAAATTTTTAACTTCTAAAAATTTCAAAAAAAAATCCCAACTTGGTGGGAAGCTTTCATTCATCTATCTACTTATAATTAAAGTACTAAGTCTAAAATTAAACTTTCCAAAATATCAATATTTAAAATTTTCAAAATGCCCCTACTCCTATTAGAAGTTAAAATCATGGAAGTAGGCTTACTTAATCTCATGTCCTGGTTTTTAAAGCTATTAAGGATACGAAAATTACATATATTTTCAACCCTATGACCTAAGATGTAAACCCCATGTTTCACCAAGATGAGGCTAAACTAATTCCCAAACAAGGTAAAAAAACTCTACCATGTTAAGCCCAACCAATAATAAAACTGTCATATCAATTGCTTTAAGATGTTCAACCACCTGCTCCTCTAAGATGAGCTAACCTAACACCTCAATAAATTCCTTATTTACTTTCATGATGTTGATGGTCGATGTCACCTAGACATTTTGATACCTCCAAACTAAAAATCAAAACAAAAGTGCATATCTCACCATAAGTAAAAGCCAAAATAAATATGCTTAGCCAAAAGGAGTCAAATTAGCTCAATTTCATTATGGTTGATTAGGCAGAGAGTTTCACAAATCCTCCTTAATGCTACAATCACTATCTAATTATAATACATTAATCACCAAAAAATCTATATTTCATTCTTACGAGTCTCTTTTTTCTATCCTCCTGGCTCGGATAGAATTATCCCCAATAGTCACCCACTTCAACCGAATACTTATCTCCACTAAAAAAATTTAAAATGAGAAAAATACTAAAAATATGCTAAAAAATAAGCCCTTGACTACACACACACACTTACAAACATACATCATTTTATGCTCACCTTGCACATTAGGTTAATTATAGAAGCTCAATTAAAATTAAGTTACACAAACATATCTTTATGCAATTATGTAGACTGAGTAGTACAAACCCTTGAGATTCATATCGTAGGTTTAAGATCAACCCAGAGAGAAAGTGGAGCGATTCCAAGAATGAGTGTCTTTGACTTTTTTCTATATTTTGACAAGAAGCTCTTCATAATACTAGAAGCAAAATATGATTGCTATGATTTATAATGGTAGAAATATGATGGTGGCTTCATAACATCAAATGCATGAGAGAATTATGCTAGATTGAGTTTTGGTATAAGATAAACAAATAATATCACATGATTCGCTAAATCATAATAAATCTCAATGATTAAGTATTTAGAAGGCCTAAATATATCACTATATTTCTTACACATATGATTTTGATGCCCCATTTGAATTGACAACGTGCAACCTATTAGAAAGACAAAATTAATGTAAAATTGTGAGATCAATTAATTAATAAGGCTCAAGGTGATGCTCAAACAACTTTAATGAATGAAATGGGAAATCTACTTGAATTGAGGTGGCTAGTCCGACTAGTGGGCCCATCGAGTTGGGTGTCAAATGGTCCAAAAAAGTCTCGAAGAACTTTGCTCAATATGTGCATAATGAGGTTGCAAGAGGATATTGATAGGGTACTAATAGGTATTTGAACTAGTAGGTAGAGTCAAGGTTAACATAAAGGTGGCGGAGTTTTAGAGTGAATGATGATGTGCAAGCGACATGTGTTGTGTGGTAGGTGTCAATTGATGAGTTTTAAATTAACAAATCAACAAGTGTTCGGCTCATTTTTGTTGGCAATTCAACAGACTGTCAAACCCTAGGCACGCCATTTTTTGGATTGATCAAAGATAACATATCATTAGACATTGAGTGCATCTTCGCTGATAGATTGAGTATAGCTGAGAATATAGGTAGTGGTCTTGCTCGAGACTTATAAAAACTATCTTGCTTGAGAGTGAGGTCTGAGGCATTGAGTAGTAAGCCTATGGGTCCTTACATGCAAGGGCGGATCCCCCATGTATTAAGGGTGGTCATTTGCCCACCCTAAAAAAATATATTAAATATTTAGAGAGGATATTTTAGAATATTTTAGATATTTTGGGTATTTTGTCCATTGTCAAAAATCTATTTTGTCATAATTTTATCAATCCTAAATGTTTTTGTTCACCCCGCACCAAATTTTTTTTTTTTGCATACCCTGATAAAAAGAAGCTGGATCCGCCCCTGCTTGCATGATGAAGAATACTAGTGTTGAATTGACATGAAAAATTCTGTTGAACCCTATGGGTAATATGGTTCCCCAAATAATTTTTGAAGCCTAAATTCAATTGATTTTGCCTTTTGACTTAATATAAATGATCTAAAATACATTCCTTAACATTAAATTTTATATTCAGTCATATTATATATATATTTTTAACGGGAGTATCTACCCGCTGTCACTCCAAAGGGAGCACTTGACTACGTAACTAATTCTTCGGCGGAACCTAGCAAGGCCACTTGCCGGCATCGGGCCCACACTTACTTTGTCCCACTGAAGAGGCGAGCCCGAGATGCGGGTTGGGTCGCCCAATGAATCATCCTAAACCTCGGTGGGTGTCATATTATAATTTTAATAATTTTAATAATTCCAATAATTATGACACATTGTATTATTCACATTACTTCTGTACGAGGTCAGAAATTAATGATTATACATATATTATAATAATATCTATAAAACCGTCCGTGACATATAAAATATTATTTTTCATATTATCACCTCATTTGGCGCCAAATGTTATTTTGTTGAGAATAATGGACAATAAATAACACTGCTAGTATTATCTCTCTTGCAGCCAAAGTCTCTACTTATATTTTCAAAAAGGTAAAAACAATATAAAATTTTGTCTTATGTACCTGAAAAATGGCATGGCAATCCCAAAGTCATGACATACATAAATGTTTTACTAACTAAAAAAAAAAAAGAATTTGGTCATAAATTTTATTTTATTTAAAAAAAAAAATTGATATAATTTTTTCTTCAAACTAGGCCCGGTCCCGTGATTTTCCCCTTTTTTTAAGATTCTACGTAAAAAATCTGATGTCTTTTATGAACGCTATACACTCTTTTATATGATTGTGTGCTGGATCTCCTGATAAAACTAAGACGTTAAAATTTATAATTCTCTATCGTCGCGAATACCGGGACACAACACACACTTAGAACATAATTGGTCCACTAACTATTTCTGAAGAATCAAAATAGTTGATGATTATATAAAATATCAATTTGATCTTTTGACTATTTAAATATAAATAAAATTAATCATTATGTGAGATTATTTAGTTTTTTTTTTTAAATTAACAGAATAAAATGAGGTTTTTAAATAATAAAAAAATAATTTAATTTTTCATTAAGAGTCATCTTCATATTTATCACATGGGTTAAAAAAGTTTGGGCCGAGTTCTTTTCCACTTATTAAGCGAATAAAACAGAAAAACTTTAATTTCGATATATTTTTTACGTTATTTATCTACTATATTTGTAAGAAGTTAATCTTAATTTTTAATTTTTAATTTTTTAATATCGTATTTTTATATAAATGACATATTTAAATAAAAGAAAATAGAATAACTTTTTTTTAATATAAACGAAAACAAGGTATTGTTTGCATTTACAGATTTCTTATTGTAAAGGAACCTATAAGATACAAATCCCTCTATATAAATGCCGTTCTCTCCAGATTTGTTAAAATTTTTTGGCTTTCTAGCGGCCTCCGTACCCTCGCTTCTCTTGCGGATCGCCGTCTGTCCACGGCAATGGCGGCCGACGAGGAATCGCCGAGTATGAGGAAGACGACGGATCGTGGCGTCAAGAAGCTTCTTCCTGGCGAGAAAGTCGAGGTGCGAACTTCGCTAATCTCAACGTGACTTAGAGGCAATGTTGGTTTATACTGGAATGATTTTTCCTATTTCGTTTTAATTGAACGTTGCTGGATTCGGAAGCGGAGGCCGGCGCTTGTTGCTTCTGTTGGGACATGATTTGGTTCAAAATTGGTTTTATTTCCTTGTATGTTGTTTGTAATTTGTTATTTTCGGTAATGCATTTGGAACTTTGTCCTTTTGGGGGTTAGGGTTTATTCCGTGGCTAGTATTATTTGCATGATTTCTCTTTTTATTAGTTTGCGCTGTTTCTTATATTCTTACTCAATTTTTTTTGGTTTATTATATATATATTTTTGGGTAGAAGGAACAGGTTCTTTTAGAATTTATTGTATTTCCCTTATTTTTGGGAAATTTATCACCCTCTGATGTGTTTCACGGAGTTTTTTGACTTAAAATCCGCAGCGTTCTTTGTTTTTTGGGTTATCTGAGTACTGTTAGCCAGTTATTGCATCACTATTGTTGTGATTTCGTGTTTAGGAATGCAAAATATCACCAATTCTAATTGTTTTTTTTTGGGATGTATCCACTTGTTTGAGAATTTTGTTTTTAAAGATTAATTATTTGTCATGTTGTAGTTTGCTTTGTGTTGCTCATGCAATGCACTTCAGTGTTGCTTGCTGTGCTTCTTAGTTCCTGAAAATTTTGATTTAGTTTCACTTTGTAAGCTTTAATATATGCATAATTTGTCCATTGTGACCTGGAAGGTCATGGAATCTTGAAGCAGCCTCTTTCCATGCGGAGTTTAAATCGCTGCATTCTACACCCCTTACTAGACTTAGGCGGGAGTATCGCCTAGGTCTAGTCTTTCATTCGTTATTGAAGCTTTATACCTTTTATTGGGGTTTTCTAACAGTTCTTGTTGTGTTTGTTGTTATTTTCCTTTGCAAATTCTCTTGCTCTCATGTGGCTTAAATGCATGCTATTCCTCATTGTTTTTTATCAATGCCCTTTATATGGATCTTCTGGTTTTGATGTCTGATTTAGTATACTCTCTTGTTGCATTATGATGTTCAGTGAAAAAAGGGATGCTGCGTGTTCATCTCTACGTTCTTATGAAATTTAATTAGCATAAAAATCTTAGCCAAACTAGAGAACTATTGATTTGGATTTTAATGTGTAGATACTTTCATTCTTATCACTGTGCCATCTTGTAATTTAGCCTGCTGATGATTTTTGTAACTGGGATCTTGCCTATTATATAATTTCAAAGCCTAATTTTAATTTTCTAGACTCATATATGTCTACAATATGACAACTTTCACTTTTTTTTTCTTAAATTGATTTGTGGTTACTGCAACTGTTATCATTAATTAAATGAAGGTTTTAGTATCACATTATCCGAAAGAACACAAAATTCTGCATGGGTATGCTGAAAGCCTCAAATATCAAACTTGTGATGGTCAGCACCTGGCTATAATTATTACCTTCCTTGGTGTAGGAAACCGTCTGTCATCCATAATGATGCTTCACAATGCATGAAAATATGAGCTGTTGGCTGGGATGCAATTGCTCTAATGCATGCAATACTTCGGTGGACATATACCTTGTTATGATCATTGATATCCCCCACAAGTTGAAACAATAATCAATTCCTCTTATTAACAGGATTTCTTGATTGAATAGTTTGTTGTGTTCTGGAAAATGTTATGATATGATTTCCAGCTATGGATCATTGACTCGATTGGGTGAAACATAAACAAATTCAAAATCATAACTAATGGACCTCCCCTCTCATTTGCGTCCTATTGAATGCATAAAGTTTGCTTATGTGTCTAAGACATGAATATGAACTCTCTGATATGGAAAAAGAAGTTGATGCTGAAGAGTGGACAGTTTTATGGGTTTGTGATAGGAAACACTTGTCGAATTTGAATTTCAACAAGGTACAAAATCAAAAATAAGAAGAGCATAGTGGAAACTGGAAACACAAGCAAGAAATGATTATATTGATAGTAGATGGAAGAAAACACACAAGATACAATGGATCTTCGATCGGAGAAGAAGTTTCGTCTCTCCCAAATATCTAGATGTTGTTAGAGCCCAAAAACAACAAAGAACAATACTAAATTTAGCAGACACTCGATACCCTAATCATAGGAAAACATTCTACTTAAAGCATACAATAATAAAAGAAATATCTAACCATCCCCTCATTTGAATTTTCCCTCATAAACCACCTTATTTCCTTCTTAATTGAGGGATGCTGGACCCCATGGCTTGGGGGGAAACCAGGGTTAAGTAACTCCTATTCCGCCTTTGATATACTCGAGCCAGTTCCATATAGATTGGTTGGACCGGTCTAATAATACCCCTCTCTTAAAGACTCACTTTGTGCTCAAAGTAAAAGGATGGAAACTGATGCTTAACCCTCTCGTACGACTCTTAAGTGGTCGGGTAGGTTCTTCCATTTGATCAACACTTTCTTGATCTCTCATTTTCCCTATTATACGCCTTTCAAGTCCAGTGGTTCTAACACCATCTCTAGATCCTCCGCCAGTGTCGTCGATAACTCTGAACTAGCTGCATGATCTCGAATAACTCTCCTCAACTGTGAGACGTGGAACACTGATGTATGGTAATTGTCGGGGGTAACCTCAATCGGTAAGCTACAACTTTGATCCTCTCCAATATCTTGTTAGGGTCAAAGTTTCTTTGTGCCAGCTTTTCATTTCTCATGTTAGTTACAGTCCTCTGCCTGTAAAGACGAAGCTTCAAATGTACCATCTTTCACATCTCAAACTGGATGTCTTTCTTATACTCATCCGTCTGCTTCTTTATGATCATATGCCTTTTTAATTCCTCCAGGTATCGTTCCACAGAGGAAATTGGCGTGCTACTATGCCCAAAATGCACCAGGTGGGGCAGATCCCTTCAATACAACACTTTAAAAGGAGTCATATGGGAAGCCAAATTATACGAAGTGTTGTACAAGTATTCTGCCCATAATAGCTACTTGGCCCACAATTGAGGGGTCTCTAAAACAAAACATTGCATGTAAGTCTTCATACTTATGTTAATAACCTCCGTCTACCCATTTGTTTGAGGGTGGTAAGCGGTGCTCCTCTTGAGTACTATCTCCTACAGCCTGAACAACTCCCTCTAAAAATGATTGAGGAAAACTTTATCTCGGGTGGACATTATAGACTCTGGTATCCCATGCATCCTGACCACCTCTCTAATGAATGCTGCTGCACTGTCACTGTTGTGCATGGATGTCATAGGGGAATGAAGTGAGCATACTTGCTTAATCTGTCAACTACCAATAAAATCATTGTAAACCCCTTAAATCGGGATAGCTCGTCTATAAAGTCTATGGTGAATGTCCTCCCACCCTTTGACTTCCTCATCCTGCACGCTCTCCTCTTTAATAGCCCTCAATCTAATATCAGTGGTATCGATATGGCTAACTACTGGAGCTCTCCCATATATATGGACAAGGCATTAGATCGCCTTGTTCTCTATCATTGACCTATACTGAATCTCAAAGTCTTAGCCTATCAGCTTTGACAGCCTCCTCTGATGCTCCTCGGTTACCATCATCTAATCTAATATGTACTTCAAGCTCTTATGTTATGCTTTGACAATAAAATGTTGACTGAATAAGTATGGCTGTCATTTCTGAATAGCCAACACGATAGCCATGAACTATCTCTTGTAGATTGACTTTAGTTTAGCTTTGGCTATCAACACCTGACTGAAGTAAGCTATTCTGCATGAGCACTGCCCATAAATCATACCCTAATGTGTTAGTCTCTGCCACAAAAATCTAGCTTAAATTTGGTAGGGCCAACTGTGGTCATGGCCTTCTTCAATCTCTCAAAGGCCTAAGTAGCCCCCCCTCCCCCCTCCCCCCCAATAAAAAGCTATCCTCTTCAGCAGCTCTGTCAAGGGCCAGGCTATAGTGCTGTATCCCTTCATAAATCTCCTATAATACCTAGTCAACCCTAGGAAACCCCTCAGCTCTCTGAGATTCTTATGTAGAGGTCATTTCAACATTGCCTCAATCTTGGCTTGATCAGTAGTCACCCCCTCCTGAGATACCACGTGCTCAAAATATTTCACACTGGCCTATGCAAAACAACACTTCTTCAGGTTGACCCTCAGCTAGTGCTCTTGTAACACTTGTAAGACCACCCTCAAGTACTCCAAATGCTCCTCATCTGATTAGCTGTGCACAAGAATGTCATCAAAGAAAATCAATACAAACCTCATGAGGTATGGTTGAAGCCCCCTGTTCATGAGGGATTAGAATTTAGTAGGGGCATTAGTGAGGCCAAAGGGCATCACTATGAAATTATACTGCCCCTCATGAGTCTTGAATGCTGTCTTCGAAACATCTTGCTCTCTCATCCTGATCTGATGGTAACTCGACTTTAGATTCATCTTTGTGAACACTATTGCTCTACACAGCTCATCCAATAACTCATCTATTACCAAAATGAGAAACTTGTATGTAACAGTCTCCTTGTTCAAGGCCCGATAGTCAACACAGAATCTCTAGCTCCCATCATTCTTCTTGACCAGTAAGACTAGGATAGAAAAAGAACTCACACTCGGTCTGATGATCCCTGCCTATATCTCTCTGATCAGTTTTTCATTCTCGTCCTTCTGAATTTGAAGGTAGCATTATGGTCTTACACTAATTGGAGATATCCCCTCCCCCAAGGTGATGGCGTGCTCCGGCTCCTTTAATGGTGGAAATTCTTGAGGTGGCTGAAAGACCTCATTAAACTGTTGTATAAGTGAATATATTGAAAGAGGTGTCTCCATCCTCCTCCAATCTGATTACCTCTAAGCTCTGCTGCTCCACCACAAATCCTCCTCCCACCTTCTATATGGTCCTCACCATGGTTTTGAGTGACACCATAACTCTGTATAAGCCTGCATCACCCCTAATCACCACCCTTTTTCCCTCCACCACCAGCTCCATCCTTAGTGCTCCTCAATTAACCTTGGTA